ATATAGTCCAGCTTCTCAGATTATTTGCTCAGCATGCAGATTGAATAGGTATGGTGAAAGGATACAACCCTGACACACACCTTTCTTAACTTTAAACCACGAAGTATCCCCTTGTACTGTTTGAAGGACTGCTTCTTGGTCTAAGTACAGGTTCCTCATGAGCACAAGTAAGTGTTCTGGAATTCCCAGTCTTCCCAATGTTATCTATAATTTGTTATGATCAACACAGTCAAATGCCTTTGTATAGTCAATAAAACACAGGTAAATATTGTGAAAGATTAATTTTTTTTGTTTGTTTTTTCTCTTCAGTTTGGTGTACTTCCCCTGTAGAGCCCACAGGCTTTGAATTTTCTTTGTGGGAAGTTATGAATTATGAGTTTCTTTTACTTAATAACTAGTATTAATAAGTTTCCCTATATCTTCTTACATCAATGTTGGTAAGATGTTTTTTGAGGAATAGTTCATCTAATTTTTCAAATTTATTGGTATGAAGTTGTTCATAATATCTACAAATGATTTTTAATGCCCACTTTTTACTCTTGATATTGATAATTTGTGCATTAACTCTTTTTTTCTTTGATCAGTCTCATGAAGGGTTAATAAAAGTATTTAGCCTTTTTAAAGAACCATATTTTGGCTTTGTTGATGCTCTTTACTATGTATTTGTTTTCTATTTCATTGAATTGTGACTTTATCTTTATTATTTCCCTTCTTCTTTCTTTGGGGTAATTTAATTATTATTTTTTTAATGCCTTGAGGTAGATGCTTAGTTTATTGGTTTTCAGCCTTTCTTATTTTCTAATACATGTATTTTGGGCTATAAATTTAAATCTAAGTATGGTTTTTAGTTGCATTCCACATGCTTTAACATACACCTATGCCTCACCGACTTCTCATTATCTGAGATTTTGCATTTATGACAATAGTAAAACGTCTACTGTTCATCTATTTTGTGCATTAATGATGTATGTCTAGCAGTAATGAACTCTGAGATGTGAGGCAAGAGTAACGCTGGCTGTGATAGTTAAGGTTATGTGTTAGCTTGGCTGGGCCATGATTCTCAGTGGTTTGGCAGTTATGTAATGATGTAATTTGGAGTTATTTAATGATGTAATTTGTCAGCTATGTAATGATGCCATTTTTGTATAATGCTGATTTTTGTGTAACAACCTTTGGAACCTAACCATGTCGATAAGTGAGGAGTGGGTATATAATATTTTCATTGTTCAGTTCAAAACAGTTTTAAATTTGCATGGAAAATAGGGGCACTTTCTAATTATCATTTAGATATTGATTTATAGATTAATTTTACTGTAGACCGAGTATATATTAATTTCATTCGTTTGAAATTTATTGAAATTTGCTTAATGGTCCAGCATATGATCGATTTTGGTAGAAGCTTCAGGTGTGCTTGAAATGTATATTTAGTTTATAGCTTTCTATATATGTCATTTGGGTCATGTTTGTTAACTGCCTTGTTCAAAACTTTTGTACTGTATTGAATGGATTAACCCAGGTTCCCTAGGAAACATGGCCCATAAACTTTGCCTTGGGCTAAGTCTTTATTGGAAGGAAATCCATGGGCCACAAGAGTGAGGGAAAAAGTAAGGCTGGGGAAGAGAGAAGGCAAAATCAAGGCGGTACCTTACCCAGTTGGCCACAGCATCACAAGGAAACACAACTAGTTTCTGGGTCACGTAAGGGTATCTAGAACAGTTCATAGGGGACAGTAGGATGAAGGAAGAGAAACTTATTTGGTGACCCCTTCCCATCTGTCTTTTCTTGGTCAAAGTTTGTTCCATAGGCTCTTCCTGTTTTTGAGTTTACATGACCCCTCCAGGTAGCTGCCATATCTTAACACTCTGCAGTACAGTGCAACATTGAAGTCTGGAAGTGATGGGAAGTGTTTGTCTTCTTGCGTAAGGCCTGGCACCCACCCTGCAGAGGCTCCTGCTACAGTGGGAATACTGGATACTATGCCCAGAGTATGACTCCTACTCTGGGGGAAACTGAGACAGCCAATCATATCAAGAAGAAGGTGAAGGCAGTAGTGGCTGTGGCTCTCTACCTAGCAAGTCTTTCTTCCCAGGGTCTAGGGACAGGTGGGGCTGAGTGATTTGTAGAGGTTCATATTCTGAGTCTGCTACATTAAAAGTTTCATCAGTTTATTCCATCAGTTGCTGAAAAA